GACCACTCTCCCGACCACTCTCCCGACCACTCTCCCGACCACTCTCCCGACCACTCTCCCGACCACTCCCACGCCGCGCCTCTCACGAGGGGCCGCGTGGGGGCTGTCACTGTGCGTGCGGGCGCGGCGTCTTCCCTTGATGCCCTGCGCGCAGCCCTCCGCCTCCGCCTCCTCCTCCGCCACCGCCGCCCCCTCCGCCGCCGCCGCCTGCCCGTAGCGCTGTCCATTAGGCTGCCGGCGGTGTCGCTGCCTGGAGACGTCCCGTGTCACATTTCCCCCTACCCGCCCTTAATACAATAACGCTCACAATTGAACCGGGAGCGGGTTAACAACCTCTTTCTTGAGCTCTCTCAAGCGTGTGCTCCTCTGGGGATCACTCTAAATATAAAATGTGTTCTTTGAACTTTGGTTTAGGAAGAGAAGTGCTGTCAAATGTGAGTTAACAAATTTCGTTAATAACTCTTAGCAATTACGGAAGCCTATTGACTCACTGTGTGAATCCTTCTGATGGAGTCTTGTATTTGCTCTCAGTTACTCTAAAACGATTAGTCTGTCAGCGATTGGAAATCCAACATTTTTCTGAAATCGGACAAACATTGTGGTTAGCATGCTTCTATTAAAAGATACACGTCATATGAGGGTTGCGACGGTTCGAACCCTGTTAAGGTATGAAATGTTCATCTTGTAAAAGAGTGACAGGAAAATGTAAACCATACAAATTTACTAAATTATAACCATTTTATAATTACCTGGTCATTTAGTCTTGCGTCCCTACATCGTCGGAAATATGACATTGGACGTAGAAGACAATTGTTCTGTGATTAGAACAATGCCGTTTGGTATAAAATTTAATTTATGTTATGACAAAACGAAATCACCCATTTTTATATGTTATATTTCTGCATTTTTAGTCGATTTCCACTAATAAGTCATTTTTTACCGTGTTACGTCATTTTTAGTTCATTTTTTGCTGATTTAATCGATTTTAATGTAATTTTAATGGTATTTGCTTCAAACAATGTTTATGAGGTGGAACAAATGTTTACCACAGAATTCCTGAGTAGCCTATTTGATTTCTGCCCTCATGTATTGTAATGTCAGCCGTTGTGCCTAAGGTTCCTTTGACGTCTGTCGGCGCCATTATCTTCATTTATCGCGAAATCGATCGAACTGAGAGATATTTTCTTTTAAAGAACAGTCCAAACTAAAAGTTTGCAGGCTGACTTCACTTGATCAAAAGGAAGAAGCCTCGATTACATCAGGAACATACCCAACAACTTCAGTTGTTCATCTCAAGTGGTTTTGATACAACTTTGTACGCCCTTTTTCTTGGTTCTGAGGGCATTTTAAAGAACTTTAAGACCATTTTATTAATATTTTTGGAAATGTTTTAGGTCATCAAAATCCTCTCCCTATTCCCAACCAAAGACGAACGTTCACGATAAACTACACCTGTTAACTAAGTTCTTTAATTCGCATCTGATAGTATTTCTGATTCACTCTCCTTCTTTTGTGGACCAAAACCAATCATCTCTCAGAGTTGAAAAGAAATCTCACGAGATACATTTTCAACCAAGAACACCAAAATTGATTAAAAAAACAATAGGTAGGCTACCTCAGTATGAAACAATGAACTTTTGTAGAAATGAAGAATAGCAGTAGTTTCAACGAACACTTTTTACACGCGGGCGTTGTCTGTTATAATCTTGTGTTCGTGTAATTTGTAGTATTTTGCGTGTTTAGCGGGAAAATGCTGTCAAAGGAAGGTCGCCGTTATCTCAATGGGGTGCACATTCCGTTACCAGAGTCTTTGCTCTTTCTTCCAGTTTACCTAGGTCATTTTACAGCTTATAATGGTTTCCAATAGAGAATGAACGCTTAGAATATATACGAAATTGTATAGGAATATTGAAAGATATCGCAGACATAAATTTTGTAAGTTAGACCCACGTTGTTTCGTCACGAGAAGTTGTATAGTGACAAACGATGATCGATATACGTGTGATATTCTGTAATATGTTCGTGAGACTTTTATTGTGACAGTCTTTGTGGTGTAATCCAAATAAAATTCATTTTAAAATGATTTCTAACATTCATGATCGATGTGTAGCTTTTAGTGATTATCGCAATGAAAGGATGAAACTCTCACGATATTAAAAAAAAAAACGACTATGAATTCAGGATTCCAACGTGGTCTAACATCGTGATTTTAAGTATGTTTCTAATGTGTTTTTTTTTCTTTCTTTTTTTTCTTTCCTTTCCCGATAGCCTCTATTCTATGCGATGCAAGATCAAAAATTGAAAAACTAGCATAATCATAGAATAATTCCATCAAATTGCATTTTTCGTATGGTTTTCTTCACAGACTCTGCATACTAATGTGACATCTACATGTAGTAATGGGGTAACATGTATGTGTCCGTCCGTCACTTAACACTCACTCACTCACTCACTCACTCACGGATATACCCCGACTGATCCGCGGTTTGGGGACAAGCAAGATATCGTGTCTTGGACTGCTTGTGGGGAACTGACCATTTTACACATTTTTTTATTTAAATTAAAAACTGAAATTAGTTAATAAGAAAATTCTTTCAGGGCTTTTAAATGCCAAGCGCCGGAGCCGCCGTACTGAACTGGTCTGCCCTTAAATCTTCGGCAACCGGGTGGCATTGCATCCGCACCGCTGCCATAATGTGTACGGATGTGAGCAAGGTGCGCGGGGTGATGTGTTGTGCGTACGTGCCGATCGCGGCCCGCGGCGTGGGGCGGCGCCAAGGGCGGGGTCGTGGCGAGGCCGCGCCGCCCGCACGCCGCCCGTATATACCCGGCGCTCACGCCTCACCACTCGCCTCTCTGTGTGTTGCAGCACCGGTGAGCTGTCCACCTGCTGGTACATCTTGCTGTCCGGATCGGTGTTCATCGATGGATCCATGTACCTGCCTCGATCAAGGTGAGTGGCCGGCGGCGTCTTGGCAACAACCACGCGTCCAGCTCCGTTTCGCGCGATGCTGTTCCTGGGAGGGAGAAAAAGTGTGCGCGATGTTATGTGACGCAGTTCGTCGGCTTCCGTGTGATTTTGGGCGCTGTTCTGGCGCTCGTGTGTTGTCATCACCGTTGTGGTTTAGTGGTACGAAATAATGAAATGCCTTGATACCAAACGTGTGTAGTGAAATGAATTCAGATTAGAAAATTGATATTCATCGAATACGGTGAGTTATGTTTGTGATGGCATGCAGGCTGTTTTTAATAGAAAATGTCTGTTGAAGAAAATATAATATTAACGTGCCCACTGCATTAATGGGCGTTCTTTTTCGACCATTCATGTTTCGAATTGTATGCAGAGGAAAATTCCGTCTTCACTAATTGTTCGGTTATTTTGTGATAATAGCGAGTTTCCGTAAGAGATAAAAAAAATCTTTTCAGCCGAAACAAATTATGTTTTATGTATGAATTATATTTATCAATTACAGCTGCTGATGATTAAAGCAACGGGGCATGCGAACTGGAACTACTAGTTTCATGGCCTGCGAATTCGATGTAGTAATTTCCTTTGCAATAGATTTGTCTGTATGAAAAACGTAATTATAGGTATTTATAATTCTCACGCATTACCTGCAGTCAGAGAAAATACGTATTTCCCAGTAACATTTCATTATTTTTACATCGTAAAATAAGCTCAGTTCTTCCTGTATTTAATTACTGGGGCATACCAGGAGGGGAAATATGTTCTCGAATACCTCAGCGCTGCAACGGAGATGCCGTAAATCGAAGAGTACGTCCGATCCGCAGCACGATTTAATCCAGCGAGGGAAGGAGCGAGGGCCGTAAAGAGGAGAATCCGCTCCGGGGAAGCGGCCGGTCGTTGCCTTCCTTGGCCGCAGCAGAAAGGAAGCGGCGCGGGCTGCGCGCACTCGAGCGGGTTAATTACGCCCGCGCGCCTTTCCGCGCCGCGCGGTGCGTATTTACGCCGGCGCCCCGCCCCGGCCCCGCCCGCCCCGCTCCGGCCCGCCCCGCTACATCTTAAATATTATTCGCACATAAATTTAAATTAGCGTAAACACAAAAATAAAAAAGTAAATACAAATATTGAAAAATGCAAATATACCTTCAGAAATATAAAATAAAACTTACAGAAGAAATGTCCTTAATTGTTTTCATAATAATTTACAATCAGGTATATTTCCAAATATTTTCTGAGAATTCCTATATCTTCTATCAACTACAAATATATGTAATACTTGTAATATATCTTTCAGACGGGAATAAAGTCGATCTACTTTTAATTTATACGTGTCTTTTTGCCAAGCCTCACTCTGACTTGATGTGACAGCTGCTAAAAACGGCCAAACACTGCGTTCATTCTCTCTTGAAACCCCCAGGGTGTCTGTTGCGGAAATTCGAAGAATTTGAAACGCTGTTCTGCTTGTCATTAAGCTTCGCGCCCGGACGTAAGGTCAAATGCGACTCGCGCATGCTGGTAAGTTCAGTGGCGTCCAAACGGATACATGATCCGATTCGGAAGATAGACCTCGAACATAGCGTTTGCTGGGCGGCCGCAACCAACACCTCTCCCTGTTGCAATAATTCAGAAATTTTAATTAGACAATAGGTATCATGAAAGGCATAGACTCTCAGTTCATAGGGCAACAAAATGCAGAATTGATACATACTAAACGGCGTTGGGTTTCACAACCCATCCAAATGCATTTTTTCTTAAATGAAACCTTTAAAGAAGATAAATTAGAAGAAGTTGATAATATCAAAGTTATATTTTATTCAATTTGACTATGAATTTTACAAACTCGTCCAGTAAAATCCCAAAATCTGCACTTTTCAGGCAACATTATCTAAAACGTGCAGTATCATACTGTGACCCCCAAACGTGCAATTTCGTGCAAAATAAAACGCGTACTAAAATAACGTCCTCTTCTTGATTCAAATTTCTGTCTGGGTCTCATTTAATTTCAAGTTAGCAAAGAAAAGATGCAGTAAGGCGGGTATCCGGTCTTTGCACATTACCATAAACCAACATTTATGTCGGCTTTGTGAAGTGACTTCAAATTTATATTTACACCTCCTTGTTGCTTGTTTCGTAATATCTTGCAACCTTTAACTAATTCATAACTATTGAGTAATGTTCGATGCGAATGCATGCCGAAGATTATTTTTATCCCTTCTCTTTTCCCTTTCTGTTTTGGCCGCGAGTCCATGGTAGTGTCAAGTGGCCTCGCTTTGCCGGTAATTAATACTTCGTCCGGAGGGGAACGCGCCTAAATTCATTTCGCAGGAGCTTCAGAGGAAGTTCTTATTAACGCAGAAATTGGATTCGGCTGGGTGTGGAGTTGGTCGGGTGCATTAACCTGAAACGTGCGAAAGTGGTGTCTAGGTGTCATGGTTCTAGAATGTGCATGAACATTTTATTTGAAACATAGTTTCTACAATATTAAGCCGTCATTCAACGTCACGATTATGTTGTCCCATTTTTCTCTCTTTTTGCCTTATTGTCGAAGACTTAACACCGAAAATGTTTTCATCCAATCATTACATCGGCACAAGCTCATGTCTCTCTCTACCCGTCAGATCAGAATATTTGTACAGAAATGTTCATTTAAAAGAGAAAATTTACATTGAATGTTTTTTTAAATCACTTAGAGCAGGAATTTCAAGTATTTTCTGTCTTCTTTAAAATAACTACTATGTGTGATGAGAAGAGGGACTATTTCCAAAATTAACACTAACCCGCGATTGATTTTAACTTTTATAAAGTATCAATAACTGAAGACAACTCTAAAAGGGAGATCGGAAAGGAATAATTATCAAATAACTGTCGAATATTGTGAAACGCTTTACGGAAATTGAATCAAGTAGTACACACTTCATTCTAAAAATAAATTGAGGAAAGTTGTTGTAAATAAAATGTTAGTAATGCCAACCACATATAAGTTTCATGGAGATTCATGAGAATCACGATATCATCAATACTAAACAGACTAATTCGTTAAGTTTCGAAAGGTTCGAATGTATAAACACGTAAATTGGAATTTCAGAATTTCGAAACTTTTTTCAGGCTCCCAGAAATTTGAGAGTTTGGTAGCTCTAACAGCACCTGACTCTATCTAAAGAATTCTACTTAAGCGCTACTTTCCGGTACAATAAATGTACTACTGGTGTCCTTTCTCCCCCTCACTACTAAGGACTGATTGCCAACGTACGGGATGCATACAACGGGTACCTTTTTGTTGCAGGAAGGGCATTCTCAGTTCAATACGAATGATATGGAACTATTGTGGCGTCTTTGCCGGGGCAATATATCACAAAGTGAACGGTTTGTAATTTATTGAGTATTTATTTGAAAAAATGCTCCAACACCTGAATACTATGTAACAATAATTACAATAAAACAATATTGACCCAGTTACTAAAGGAAATGTTCTGGTGTACCACCACCGCTTGGTCTAGGTAATTGATATCTTATTCGTCGTGATGCACCAGTACCCTACGTTGAAAGCATACAAGGAGTATGCCGCACCTCCGTCTCGACGTAGCACGCCGTGCTTCAGTTTCCCCTGCCTCAGAAGACTATGCATTGTAATGCTGCGCGCGCACACCCACCACGACTTCCTACCGGACGCGCCTAAGATCAGAAGAGGCAGGAGTTTAAGGTCTGGGGTCCGGTTTATATTCCCTTTCTGGGCAGGCTGACGGAACTGCGTCATCCTCGCTGTTCCGCCGTCGCGTTTCCACGCCAGCATGTCTACGGGGTTCACAAGTTTACCCATGTGGTCTAAACGGGTTCACAAAGTTGACACCCACGGGACACGGGCACCCCCCTTCCCTTCGCCTCTAGGTTGCCATTGTTCAGCCCGGCGTCTCTTCCCGCCAGCGCTGTCACTGAAAATGCACGTGGCTGATATTTGGACGTTTGTACCAGGCGACTGATTGACGCCACACTATCTACGCCCCGATAAGATTCGACCAAGAGAACATTTGAGTACAATTTTAAAACTTTCCATCTTCACCCAAGACGAATCCGCATCAGTCGGTTCCCTGGGAACCCTGCCCGTTAACCGGAGCGCTCTCCGGAGCGCGTTCATTCTCTGAAAGAGACGTCGCTACGTGGCCGATTGCCGCAGGCGCGCGCCGCTGTCTCCCCCGTCTCCTTTACGACGGCACCGGCGAGCGCGCGCCGCGCGTGCTTTCGCGAGTCTCCGCTCCGCGCCGGCAGCGTTATTGTTCCTCCCTGAACGCAAACGCGCGCGCTCCCCGCCGCCCCTCGCCCTCCGCCGGCCGGGAACCCCGTCCGCCGACGCGTTAATAACTGCGAACGCGCCGTCTCCGAGTAGCGAGGGTGTTGGCAACGCGGCGCCGGGGACTGGTCGATCGAGGCGCTCGGCTACCCCCCTTCCCCCCCCCACACACACACGCCGCCCCGCGCCGCCGCCGTTCGTCATCGTCGTCGTGTCGATTAATCTAATATCTTGCTGCAACAACTGCGTATTAGTCCCTTGTAGTGACATTTAGGAATTGGAATTTCGTTTGCAGGTATTTGCAAGTTTGCAAGATATTACGAAACAAGCAAAACCAAATGAGGTGTAAATATAAATTTTATGTAACTTCACAAAGTCGAAATGAATGTTGGTTTTTGGTAATGTCTAAAGACCGGAATTGGAAGAAACATTGGAATTAGTCCCTTTAGTGTAGGCAATGTATTTATCCCTGGAAGTCTACAATAAATGGTGAAATTCGGCACTGATCAACTTGTCAGTTTTGGGGGGAATTCCCTCTCCGAGAATCTCAGCCAACCACCCGGCTGCTAGGCTCTTAGCTCTCGATTGGTCTCCCGACGTGTGTGAGGTAGTGTAGTAATTGCATGCTGAAGTGAGGGAAGACGTTAGAACAAGTAAGAGGAAGGAAAGATCGCGCGCGGTTCATGACCCGTTTGTTAGGATACTGCTCCGACATTTGCCTGGTATTGATCGCAGAAACTCCCGATGAGAACAACCGAACACTAGAATTCTGCTCCCGACAGCAGCTGAATTCGACTTATCTTTCTAGTTTCGAAAATGCGCCTCCGTCGGGAATTGAGCCTTAGTACCTCATTAGGACAGAGACAGCGACAGTGCTTGGTCGGAGCTGTACTCAGCCGACCGCCGCCGCTGCCGCTCCCGCCGCCGTCGTCGTCGGATCTGTAGCGCGCGTCGCTCGTCCCAAGGCGCCTCGTCGTTGCTCCGCCGCCGCCGCCGTCGCGTCGGCGCGAACGGGGCGGCGCAGGGGCGTACGCCGCCCGCGAGGTGGAGGCGGAGGTGGGAGCGCTTCGTGCGGGATGGGAGCCGTGGGAACTGGAGCATGCAGATCGCGTTGCGTTTTAGCGTTCGGGTTGGTGGTAGTGAGGAAGACTGGCGTTGTGGAGTGTTTCTGAAATGTTACTGAATTCATAATTCTGCATTCCCTTTATTTTTTGGTTATCGTTTCGAAAACAGTTTG